GAAGAAGAAAGAAAGGAATTTATAGCTTCACTTCACAAGCAAAAGACAGAACTCTTCATGGCCCTTATTGAGAAGAAACTGCTACCTCTAAGACCTGGTGTAGCAAAGTTGGTTAATCTCTTATATCTTTTCAAACTGCCTTTTTAATCAACATTTGGCACTTGATTTAATTGATTCATATTGTTTTACATGGTAATTTTTTTAAAAGAAGTGAATATGTAAGGCATAAGTCCTGGCCTGCAATAATCTTTCTTCCAGGGAAGTTGTGATTGCAGATGCAGTCTGTTCTGTGGAAATATTTCTCATAGATCTTGAATAAGTTGTCAATAGTCGATGTAAACTGATGTTTGAGAGGCATCTTTTGTTGATAACAAGCTGTTTACGGATATCCAAACCCAAAATACCTGTTTGTAAACTGAAAAAGGCAAGCGATGTGCGTATCTTAAACTATATAAGGTGCTTATAAGCATCTGCTTTTGAAATATTTATAGACTTTAAACAGCTTTGTCTTTTACCATGTTTGTCTACCAATTTGGCTTAATTGTACATTTCCTTTTCTTTATTAAAACTGACATAAGTGCTTCTTTCTCTAGCACTTTTGTCAGAAAAATGTAATTACTTCCTTTAAATTTCTCATAAAAGTTTACACGGTATTTGGACTACTTTTTTTTTTGTTTTTTTTTGGTAAACCAACTCTAAGCTGGTTCTGAGGAAAAAAAATGAAAAAGAAAGAGAAATCAGAGGATGTTTCACAATCTTTTAAAACTGGTCAAAGTCACACACTTTTAATTCTAAAGTAAAGTAATAGTGATGAGTGTTTAAGCATATTTGTTTTGGCAGCGTGAAAACTTGTATTTGATGTCACTTATTGCTCATTGTCTATGACACTACCCAAATCATAACCTATTAATTGCCTTGTACTTCCTTCTAATCATTTTACAGTAGGATGTTCCAAATGTAGATTAAAGTTCCCATTTGATTGTGGATTTTTACTGTAACTAAAGTTAATCATATGTGTTTCTTGGTAATCAGATAGTTTAATAAAATAATTATATATCAAACCAGACGCCCATCTGTTTGATTTGCTGAGTTTCTCTATTAATTATACAGGTTGATCGATCAGGCTTTGGCAAAAGGAGTCCAAGTTGCAGTTTGCAGCACATCCAATGAGAAGGCGGTATGCATAATCAGGTTCTACGACTTTGGTTTCCTGCATTATTTGCTTATTATAGTGGAGGATAACCCGAAGAACTTATAAAATCTCTAATTACTTGGGCTGAAAAGTGGAACATATCTAAGTTCCATTGCTTTAACAATGCAAATTCTTCTAAAGCTTATGTACTTGAATTTCTTTCCTTCTTTTAGGACCTTTATGGATGGGATCAATATTAACGTACTCTTGTAAATGCGGTTATTTCATTTTAATATATGGTTCCATTACTTAAATATCATGCCTTATTCCGATAAGTGAACCATAAATTATAATTTCAGGTTTCTGCAATAGTTTCCTGCTTGCTAGGACCTGAACGAGCAGAAAAAATCAAGATATTTGCAGGCGATGTCGTTCCCCGCAAAAAGCCTGATCCTGTAAAACTTTTCAACCCTTTGACCTCAGTATTTGAATGGGAATAGGCACAACATTATATTTTAATCCCGCAACTGCCTTAGTCTATGGAAAAAATAGCTTATGCTAGTTCAACTTCAACTTTCAGGATAACAAAAAGAAAGGATTTCTTCTAAATGGCCAGATACTTTTATATAAAATCAATATTTTCATTTTCATTTTCATTTTCTTGTAGTTTTACGAGTGCCTGTCACCATTGACATAATTTGCATTAATTTAACATTTTTATCTATTCTAAAGGCTATGTGGCTAGCAACTAAACTTTGTTTGCTCCATCATGACAGGCTATTTATTTATTAGCAGCTGACACTCTAGGTGTTGATCCTTCAAGGTACTGGTTGGCAACAAAACTTTAGTTTTATTTGATTTTTGTATGATAAAGAATAAAATAGGCTTCATTAAACAGTTTGGTGCCAGGATAATTCAATGAGATCATTCTATTAGTGGTTTCTGCTGCTAGTGATTTTCTTCTTTTTAACTTGTTGCCCCTGTGGATCAATCAGTTTGATACATTTTGTTTCATATTATCTTTCTGTTTATTTTTATGTTTGGATTTGTCTAATTGAAGAAACTTTTGTCTTGTGCAGCTGTGTTGTGGTAGAGGATAGTGCCATAGGACTTGCAGCTGCCAAAGCTGCTGGAATGAAGTGTATAGTAACAAAGAGCGGGTAAGTGACTACTTATGTGCTCAGAGTTTTTTGCTAACATTTTATTTCTCTGATATTTCCAAAATGTAAATTTTCAGCATTGTCTTTGCTTGATTAGCTGATTCTTTGTATCTTTGCATGACTGGAGGATTCTTTTGCACCAAACCTAAAGGAAAGTTCCACTTGGCATTGTTTTGTGAAACCTACCATAGCTGTGGGATTGTAACAAAATGATCCAACTCAACCCCTTTCTGTCATATTTTTTTCATAATATCTGCATGTTGGTGTACATGTATTGGCTTATTATCTTATAAATAAGTCTGCAATTCTAATTTTCTCACAGAAAGCAGCATGTTGCTGAATTCTGCTGGAAAACCATTCCTTTTGTATAGCATTATGTCTTCTCTTATTAGAGAGGGGAAAAAAGTCAGGGAAAAATAATCTTTGGAGTACTTGGATGTGATTCTGGGCTCTGTTCAGATGATGCATATGAAATTCCTTAGAAGTTTTAATTCTGAAGTCCAGACCTGTTTAGGATACAAGAATGAAATGCTTTTAGTGGAGAAACTTTTTACCGGGCAATAATATAGAATTATTCCTTAAAAAAAGGCAATAAACTAGAACCTGTGTTTTGCAGTAGGTATGTTTGCATAACGGCATACATACATAAAGACATATAAACTATTCTTCATGCCAAAATTAACTGATTGTCCTGGGTTACTCTAAGTCTTTTCCATTCTTTCTATTCGTTTGAGATGCTATCTACAGGTCAATTTTTTTTTCACTGGTTAATGTAATGACTAAACTTGGGCCACTATGCTTTAATTTCTCCCATTTGCTGTACCATCCTATAATGGAATGTCCTTGGGTGTTGTGACATTTCATTTGACGAAATATGTTGGGGTTGAGTTCTTCAGCCTTTTGGTTTGAAGCATTCAACAACTAGGTGGCTAATTTCTCTCTAGCCATTTCAGTTATGTCCCTATATTTGACTTCGCTTCTATCAATTTATTTGTGTGCAATTATGCAAAGATGTTTATTTACATTTTGCTGGAAAAATAATGAAGATAAAGAGAGTTATCATTTGAATCTGTCGAAGTTACAAGAATCTTATCTTTCTGGAAATTAAATGACAAGTTCTTTTGCATCGATGTAGTGGTGAAACACTTTTACAAGCGTTAATCTTCTTAACTAACACTGGGAAAACACTCAAGTTACCTGTAATTGCAAAAAAAATGAGCATCAATAGTTTCTACCATTAGCTTTGTTTCTTTTCTATGATACATACGAAACAAAGTAAGATTTCATTTGAAATCTCTGCAGTTATACAGCTGATGAAGACTTCTTAAATGCGGATGCTGTCTTTGACTGCATTGGAGATCCTCCAGAAGAGAGATTTGACTTGGCATTCTGTGGAAGCCTCCTTGAGAAGCAGTATGCTAGTTAGTCCATAAAACCTTTAACTTTACAAATCCCTCCTGAATGGAGGTTCCTATCCTTCTCATTTATTTTATTTCTAGATCTTGATTGAGGTCTGAGCTTAACAAATTGATGCAGAAATGATATTCCAATATATATTTTTAATTGTAGATCTTCTGTTAATGATGTGAAAACAATTCTTCTCCAAATATCTGGGAAGAACAAATTGATGCAGAAATGATATTCCAATATATATTTTTAGTTGTAGATCTTCTGTTAATGATGTGAAAACAATTCTTCTCCAAATATCTGGGAAGAATGCAGGGCGCAAACCAGACACATTTTTAACAGTGATGTAAAAATTCTTGTAATACCTGAAACATAACTAGTATGTGGAAAATATCCTCCTTTAAAGGTTTTAGTTTCTGCAATATAGGCTCCTTCAAGTTTCCAAAAGCTGAAGAAGTAATGATTACTGAAGAAAGGCTCCTTAAAAACAAGCTTCAAAGTTTTTGATGTTTAAAAGGAGAACAGAAGTAGAAGAAGTAGGTGATGTATCATTGACTAATTGAGCACATATTGATAGTTGATGTATTAATTAGGACTCTCTTTTGCTTTTTTCCCCCCTGATGGTTCCTCTTTAGCATGGAATTGAACATTCAGTGATCTCCAGGGATGTTTTTGAGTGTCTTAGGAAAGAGCAAGAGTCCAGCATTTATAGACTGTTAGGTTTATCTGCAGAGCCTAGTTTTTAGTCTGAGAATAAGAAGTAATTATTCAGGGAATTTTCTTCTAGTTATCTGAGGATAAGGATGTAAGTTCACAGTGTTTTCACTCAACAGAGACAAACTAAAATCAAATAATTACTTTGTAGTCTAGTTTCAAATTAGTAGTCACTTTCTTTTTCTTTTTTTTTTCAAAGTGAGAAAGAAGACAAGGCTAAGCTTTATTCAGCCTTGACCAAGCACTTCTGCAAACACCAGCAACAAATCTCCAATCTCTGAGGAGGTTCCCAAAAGATACAATGAACACTTTGTAGACTAGGCAAGCCTTTGAGAAAAACAATTTTCCTTCTCTTGGAACATGCTGAACCTTAATGATTCAATTTCAATTAACCCAATCTTTTAATTCCTCTAGGGCAACTCCAATATCATCATTTCATTTTAACCCAAATCCGAAGTTTGAATCACCTTTAGGCAGCATTTGTTTCATGGATTCCTAGATACTGTTAACAGTTTCAGATTGATGAGAATTTCGTATCACCATTAACATTCCTATTAATCTATGATCACCATGTTTGGGTATGTCAATTTGAGATGGAAAATGTATTTTATCAATAATATTCTATTTATCTCCATGTTTGGTTAATCAGTTTCAATTCCTAGGAATATTAGTTTAAATTTCAATTATACCCCTTTATAACTAACTTTTAATAAATTTATTGTTGTTATTTGATAAATAATCATTATAAATACACATGAAATTATTCTGTTTTATTAATTATTATTAATCATAATTTGAACTTAGTTAAGTAGAAAATTCGAGTTTAGAGGCGAACTCTGGTTTGAGTTAGAGTAGGCCAAGGGAAATCCGATTAGAGGATGGGAGAAAAGAGAACTGAGTTGGGTCAACCAGATCTGAGGCTCACAATAATGAAAAAGGAGAAGTACCTGACAGGCTTGTTGAGACCCATGAATTGGGAAGAAAAACAGTAATGTGCATGAGAAGTGCACAATTAAGGATAGACAAGGAGCTTGTGACTGAACAGATGGAAGTGGCAAATGGTAATTCCCAATGTAGGAAGGAAAAAGGAACTATTTTTCCACCTTTATTGAATATTCAAAGTAAGGTGATGGAGAACCTAGATCCTTTTGCTGTTAGGATTATGCCTCCTTGAAAGAATGGGCATGGTGAAACTGAATAGAAATATGGTACTGTGAAATGTGTCCACAGTGGTCTTGTTAAATTTTGTTTATGCTGGTTAAGTTTCTGTCTAGGAATTATTGCAATGCAACTAGCTAGGCCCTCAAGATACACCTGAAATAACTATTTAGGTTTTGTAGGTCTGCTTCGGTGTGTATTCTGGAGCCTTAAATCAGTGGGGACAAAATAGACAGGGAACCAAGCAAGTTTATTAGATTGGGAGTTTGTTTGCTATTGGCAAGGTATGAGGAATATGGGTGCTACAGAATAGCAGCATCCTTAAGATCTAAATCAATTTTATGGGTGGGGAAAATATGGGTGCTCTGCAAAGAAAATTAATCCATCTCAGATTGGTTATTGGGAGGGGAAACTTCTGTCACATGAGGGTAATTTATGCTAGCCCTCATGAATCGAAGAGGATCCTTTGGGAGAATTTGAGAAATTGGGAAATATAAAACCTTTATTCCTTCTAGGAGACTTTAATGATATAAATTCACATAAGGATCAACAAGGAAGATTGAGTTGTTATGATAAGCATGCTCGATGCTAAAAAGGCAAGGGGTGAAGCTTGTAATCTGATTGTTTTGGGGTTTTTGGAGCTAAGATACATTTGGCATCTAAGAAGAGTGATATTCTAGTTAGACAAGTTTTTAATAGTAACAATGGATGTACAAAGGTGTTTCAGGGAGCTCATATAGTTAATATGCTTATTATTCCTTCAGACCTTAGTCAAATTTTTTTTTGCACTTTATGACCAATTGTTATTATGAGAAGAGCAAGGCTTTAGGTATGAGGTAGCCTGCAAATCAGACCATGGATTTACTATGTTTGTTTGTCATAACTTTGACTCAAAGAATTACTTGAGTCAAGAAGTGAATGTTTTAGATAAAAGATAATGAATTTGAATAGTGAAGGTGGCTCAGAATAATACAATTTTAAGAAGATTATAGGAAATCAAAAAGCTTAAGAGGTTCACTACTCAAAACACTTGAAGGAGTTAAAGTTGGAGTTAAGGAATGAATATGAACAAGGATTGCAATAGGAGTAATTGTATTTGTCCTAACAGGTTTTCATCTAGTGAATTAGAGAGGGAGCTTAGGATACCAACATTTACCACAAAATAGCAAATACATATATAATGAACAACATAATAGAAGGAATTAAGATTGGAGATGGAATATGAATTTTCTTTAATAGTGAGGCGATCAAGAGGATAAGTTCTACAAGAGATTGTTAGCTAAATGCCTGTTTAGTGTTATGGTATGAGTAGTAAAATTGTTGTTCAAATAAGTAAAAGTTCTTTTCGTATAAAAGTTATTATGATTTAGTGGAAATACCTGCAAAAATATCCTCACATTAAAAAGCAGAATTTGTTTGACTTGGTGGAAAAAAATGTTGATATTGAAATTATCAAAAAGGATATAAGAAGAGAATAAGATATTTGAATAACGTAGATTATGTTTTTCATTCTTTAAATTATTATTATCTTTAGGTAGCTTTAGTGATATGGGAGGAAGATTCTTAGTCTTTAGAGAGGAGAAAGGGAATACGGGGGGGACGAATATTTTAAACTAGATGAGTGAAAGCTAGAGGTTGGTGGAGGATGATGGCAGCAATTTTTACAATGGCGGGAAGGACGTGGTAGATATTAGTAAAACCCAACATGACAGGTATAATAGTTCAAAACAGTGAGAAGAGGTTAGCAAGGGGCAGCAATAAGGTGTCGGTCACTCTATGTTGTCCTATGTGTCAAATAAGCTAAAAATGACGTTGGAATCAATGAGAAAGAAAAGTTAAGCAAAAATTATGAAGGACAGTGAAACAAAGGCAAAACATGTGGGAAAGATGCAAAGAGACAACAAGGTAGGTCAGGTGGCTTTCAAAAAACAAAGTTGCCATAACGCAAAAGAGGAGTGCTAGTTTGGTGAAAGACAAAATGTAATAAATACTAGTTTTGGTGGTGAGAATGGCAGTTA